CAAAATGACGTATCTTAGGGTTTAAACGAAATTGGAAAAGACCAAAACACCCCTAGGTAAAGTGTTGTCGGACCAAACGGCGACCTGGACTGACCGTCCGTCGTTCCATCGACGGTCCTTCGTTTGGTCCGTAGGTTGGGCCTATTCGACGGGCCTGTACTGAAACAGGCATAACTTTTTACTCGGAGGTCAGATTTTAGCAAAGTCTGTGGCTATGAAAAGCTAATTAGGTAGGTCATGGGACACCTAATTCATTTTGTGCTACAAGTTATGACCATTTGAAGTTGACCCAACTGCACTTCCCCTTTAACTGCCTGCTAATTCCAACCTACGGTCAGACCTACCGACCGTGGGTCCACCTACAGACCGTGTTGGTCATCTATGGCTGTCAGAAAGTGGGTGAATGAGGTCTCAATCGACGGTCATAAACTATGGAACATAGCTAGACCTACGGACCGTAGGTCCTTCCATCAACGGATGTGTAGAAAAAACTGTGGGTCAGTCTACGATCTGTCGATGCCACCGTTGGTTGCACCTACAGATTGTTCTATAAAGCTATTTTTGGTTTGTTTTGGATAAGAGGTGTTACACTCGGTATAGCCACAAGCTCCCAAGTATTATTTTTTTCAATCATCCGAATTTCTTTTTCCATGATTTTCTTCCAAACATCATGCTTTATTGCTTCTTCATAATTTTCTAGCTCAACACCGACAAAGTTACATCTTTAATAAATGTCACTCAATATTTTTGTTCCTCTTGGAAGCGGTTCTTCATCATCTGAATTTGGTATTTCTCCCTCTTGAGAAACATCTTCATCCTTCTCATCCTCTTCTTGATTTGAAGATATGATAGTAGTATTCTCTAATTCCATGTTGTTTTTTCATAAAAAATGACATCTCTTCTAACAAGTTTGTTAGTTTTGACATCGAGAAGCCTATATACTTTTGTCACATCACTATAATCAAGAAAGATACATTTTTGACTTTCTTCATCCAATTTTGTTTATTTCTCAGCAGGTACATGACCATAACAAATACACCCAAAATTTATAAAATGACTTACAGAAGGTTTAATTCCACGCCAAGCTTCAACTGGTGTCTAGTCCTTTAGTGCCTTTGTTGGACACCTGTTAAGGATGTGAACTGTTGTATGCACTGCTTCTACCAAAAATATTTTGGCATTCCTATCTCATTCATCATAGTTCTGGTCATTTCAACAATTATTGTATTTCTTTTTTTAGATACACTTTTTGGTTGAGGAGTACACCTTGCTGTAAGTTGCTTCTGAATGCCTTCATTTTTGTAATATTCTTCAAATTCTCGACTTGTATATTCACCTCATCTATCACTACGAATGGTTTTGATGCTGCAACCTTTTTACTTCTCAACAAGGGCTTTAAATTTCTTGAATGTAGCAAATGCTTCTGACTTTTTGATGGAAAGCTTAGAAAGATCTTCGGTCTCCTCACTGATAGCAACAACCTACTCATACTTTTCTGTGACACTAATTAGAATCTTTTCCACAACTTGTTGGTCAGAAATTGTATCACCGTGATTTCTCAATTCATTAACAATATTTAAGACTCTTGTGCAATATTCATCAATATTTTCAAATTCTATCATCTTCAAATTTTGAAACTCTCTTCTAAAAGATTGAAGATTTATAGTACGTACCTTTTTGTCACCATACACCTCAGTTTTCAGAGAATCCCAAGCTTCCTTTGCAGTCTCACAAGTAGCAATTTTTGCAAAATATGCTCTTGAGACTCCCATTTGGATTTTTCTCAAGGGTTTTGCATCTTGACGATACATAGCCTCAAGATTTTTCATCTCTGCTGCTCACTATCATTGTCTGTCTTTTCAAAGCCATTTGCAACAATAGTTCACAAACCTTCAACTTTCAAATTTGTTTTTATTCTTATCTTCCACTATTCAAAATCAATTCCATCAAAAATGGAGTAAGAGCAATTGAAGAATCAGCACCTTGTTTTGGATGACATATTTTTTCTTCACCTAACCCCAGATTAAGAACGAAAATCTGCTCTGATACCAATTTGTAGGGAATATGGAAGGAAATAGTATCTTTAGAGAATGCTCAAGTTTATTATAGGCTACTTAAGTCCACTTGAGATGATTACAATCATCAACTACATCACTATTTATACTACTCAAAATAGAAAAGAAAAAGTCATGCACAAATAACAAAATACATGTATCACAATTTACTCGATATATGTACTACAAAATTCGAAAGAGACTTCTTGAAAAACTAAGAGACAATTTTAGAAGACTAAACATTAATGCATTAATTCCAACAGTAGAGACTAGAAACCTGCAGCTTTCTTCCTACTTAACCAATTTCAGCATAGAAAATACATACATACAACAAATAGATGCATAAATTCAATACATAATTCATAACTCTATCTTGTGATGCAATCAACTTCCGCACCACATTCCGCATAGTGGATGTATTCACTATCTGTTTGTTACCAAGAAAACAGTCATTGATTGATCAAAGTGCGTAAGCCAAGCAGCTATAGGCACTCCCATACTAATACTCTTAATGAGAGAATTTCGTCCAAAATGACTCATTACTCATGAACTCGTCCACAAATATTAAGAAACTAAAACATAAATGAACCAAGGAACACTGATATATGAATACATTAAATCACTACAAAATTATGAGGATACCTTTGTTGATACTCGACCATATTTACTATGTCGGCAAATCAGTTCCCAAAAGTGTAAATTTATATGAGCAAGTTTATAACAACTTAAAAACTACAATGAGTTCAAACTAAAAAATATACATAAATCTTAACTATAGACCAAAAACAATGTAAGATCAAATACAATATTGTAAATTGATTTCCATAAATACTCACTCAACGAATGGCATGACTTGTGGACAAGTGAGCACCACATATCGATGTGCTTGACGTTTCAAGTATTAACACATACTCTGCGCTACATCTTCTAGTGATGTAGGTTCAGGTTTTAAGCTTCCAGATCACGTTTAAATCGGTTCCCGATCTTCAGTTCAACAGTTACAGTGGTGAGTCCTCATCCTTTGAGGACACGTGACATAATTATTTCCCTTCGTTTTTAATTTTTTGTTTCAGTCTAGCTAGGGTATGTCCTAGCATTTCTAATCAGTTAGGCTTATTTCAGACATAACTAGATTTAGCTTTATTTCATTTGAGCTTGACTTTAAGTTGTGTTAAAACTCTTAGTTTTCTTACATATTCAGTTTTAGAATGGGTATTCCCAATCAATTTAATTTTTCATAAAGCTTACGCTCAATATTATTTCATTTCAGTTATCATAGTATGCTGATGTATGAAAGTTAGCTTGGGGTCACTTGTGATCTTTGGTTGGGTACGCATCTTGGGGGTAGCTCAACATCATAACTATGCTACCAGTGAACAACTCCAACATAACTTTTTATTTCACTTTGGTTAGATTGTTACCCTGTTAAGGAAGTTTTACTTAAACTAATGATTCAAAGTTCATCTTCCTCGTATAAAAAAAATTGATTTGCCTTAATTTAGAATGAATTGCCATCCAAAATTAGAAGGGAGAAACACCCTGTATAGGAACGCTTTCCCTTGAAAGAAAGTCTTTAAACAAACTATAAATTCAAAGGTCCTCTTATTAATATGGTGATTTTCTGATTGAACTAAAATGAATTATAGACGGTTCTAAAGGGGTAACAAAATAAAGTTGACTTAACGCAAATTTAAATTTGTCAGCGAATAAATAATGAATATCAAATAATAATACTATATAAACTAACATATTCATTCATGATTTTAAAACATTTCGTTCTATTGTTAACATATAACATTGTCTTCCGTAAACTTGATCAAAATGATTAAGTATTGTGTTGTACTACATAAAGAGATATTTTGCCACACACTTGACATGCAAATAAATTAGTATTAATATATATTATTTTTTCTCTTAAGTAAGTTGAATCATATATTAATTCAATTTGGTTAAGAGAAACATAACGATGATTTTACTAATTTAATTGCATCGAGTGTGTAACAAATTATTTCCTCATGTTGACACTACTCTATCATTTTGATGAAGTTCATGGAAGAGAAGGTTATGTTCTTGCAATACAAGGGAATGGTAAAATTACACATGAACATATTAGTTTTTATAAAATGACTATTTAATATTCATTATTTATTTTCCAACCAATTCAATTATATTTTGTTAAGTCGGGTTCTTTTCGTTACCTCCTTTAGGACCAAACTGTGATTCATTCTTCTTCGTTCAAAAAATCACGATCTTTATAGGAGAAAGAGCAACTTTGAATTTTTAGTTTGTTTGAAAACTTCCTTACGAGAGAAAGCGCTCCTATCTAGGGTGTTTCTCCTTTCTATTATTGGATTACAATTGTTCATTCTAAATTTAGGTCAATTACATTTTCTTTTAATATGAGGAAGATGTATTTATGGATGTATTTTTTATAATTTTATATAATTCAATCTTTAGATAATTAAAATACTATTATTTAATTAAATTCTTAATTTAGTAGAGGGACAAGATGGTAATTCAATTTTTAAGATTAGAGCTTTCCACCTGAAAAGTTATTCATATAAAACTATCAACACTAGAAGGAGCTTTTCCATCTTTTCCCTCGTGAAAATATAATCATCAACAACAACATACCTAGTGAAATCCACTTAGTTAGAGTATAAAGAATGTGGAGAGTATGCAAATCTTATCACTATCTAATGGAGATAAAGAGGTTGTTTATGAAAAACCTTCGGCTCAAGGACATCAATCCAACTAAAACATTGTGGGGATGGAAGATGAAAGTAAAAGATAAATTTTGAAAATTTGGAGACAAAATTCAGTGACAAGCTATGGTGTCCAAGAAGAACTATACACAAGTGTTAGTCTTTGAGATATGCATAGGTATATCTCAGAGTTTCATGATAGATCAAAGCATCATATTTGATTATAAAAGGCGGTTGGTTCATTCAATCCCACAAAAATCTCTCAATCTTTTGGGCTGATTTCTATCCATATCGCGTTTAGAGGAATCAAAACCTCATAATCGAATCAGTTTCGATAACTCTTTACTTTGTAGAGAAGCACTTAGATATGAGTACTAAATCCTCTCTGCTATGTTTCATTCCAATACTAAATACAACAAATAAAAAAATGAAATCATACATACAACAAATATATTACAAGAATTACCATTTGGGGTTTGCGATGCTTACTTGGTGGAGCCATGGAGACTATCTGTTTCTCCCTCGCTTGTCTTTCTCGTCTACGAACAACGGAAGACTCCTACATAAGTTATGGAGAGATTAGTTATTACTATATATAAAAGTATTATTTTCTTCAAGTGTTGCATTAATTAGAGGACATTTGTCTTGTATGTCAAATGTTGGTAAGGCCCTGGAATAACCTAACAAGTACTGAGGCGGGCTGTCAAATTGCATTTAGGTTTAGTATGAAAATGTATCTTTTAAAAGTTAGGGTTACTAAATTCACTTGTGCTTCATAGATTTGTGGTATGCATATATTTGTCTGCTTTGTTCATTTTTTTCTTAGGTTGATTATTCTTATTTGTCTTCTTTTACTTAATTGAAGATTAACAAAATCTCTACTGAAAAAAGATCACCGCAAGCAAGCATTCTCTTTAATTTATTTTGTGCTCTTCATTTGAAAAAAGATCACCACAAGAACAAACAAGCAACGATGGAGAAATCAAAGCCTAGACTAGTTTTCTAAGAATCAACAAGATGGTCCAAATAACTCACAATATATATAAAAAAAAAGTTGAAATCAATAAAAGAAACTTACCTGGACGGATCTGTTAAAGATCTGTCTCAATACCTCGAAATGCTCGCAGGAGTATGTTGTCCGTCCTCGTCGGAAAAGAGGAGAATCGTCGAATTGCTGCTGGTCGGAGCTGGCTTTCGCAGATGCTCGCCTGAGATTGAGATGAGGCAGCGTCTGGTTGCTGTTGCTGGCGTTGGCTCGTTTCTGCTGGTTGCTGTTCTTCGCCGGAGGCTGCTGCCTGGTGGTCCTGCAAAGAGAGAGAGAAAAAAAGAACAAGGAGAAGAGGAGGGAGGAGAGATCTGAGAGGGAAGGAGAAAAGGGGGAAGGGGCAGCGCCGCCTGGAGCATCTCGCCGGAATTTCGCTCACTCTCTCACTGGTCACCGCTGATCGGAGCAGCGTGGCAGCTCGCTGGAGAGGAGAAGACGAAGAGAAGTGCGAAAGGGAAGGCAGGGGGCAGGGAGGAGGAGACAATAAGAAGATGAGGGTTTAGGTTTAGAGTTTTTGATAGTTTATAAATAGGGAAAAGAAGAATTTAATCTCAACCATTGATTTCATAAGAGATGAAGGGCTAGGATTCGAATAAATTGGAGTGACTAGAATTGAAATAAATTGAAATTAGTGGCTAATGTTTAAATAATTTTGAGAAAAAATTAGGAATTGTTATTTAATTAAAATACTACATATAGTAAAATATCATAGATTTATATTAAAGAAAAACCTTAAGACCGTCTATGTGGCAACACCACAAGCAACGATTCTCTTTAATTTATTTTATTTCCAAAACTAGTCTTTCTCTTTTATGAAAAGTTGTGACTTTTATGGAATTTTCTAACTTTTTTCATGAAAATTTGCGACTTTTATGAAATATTGCGACTTTTATGAAGAGTCACGGCTTTTACGAAATATTTTTTCCTTTCCGAAAGGTTGTAACTTTTTCAAATAGTTGTGTCCTTTCCGATAAGACACATTAATCATTTTTTTACAAGTACCATTTGTTGCCTATAAATAGAGAACTACAGTGTGCATTCAATGGGCTCGATTTGTATCATTCTATTTCATTTCAATATCGTTTGTTGTCTATAAATAGAGAACTACAATGTGCATTCAATAGGCTCAATTTGTATCATTCTGTTTCATTTCAATGTTGCATATCCTGATATATTTTTTACAATCATTAGTTTATTCTTTTTTTATTATTGCTGTTTTTGAGTATATGCTTTAAACTTTGCTATTTATGTTTATGTAAAGTTATTCTTATAAGTATTTGTTAGTACAGATTAAATAACAAATGTCAATTGAATATTCAAGCAAGTTTTCTCTACTGAAATTGTTGGGTGTACATTAAAAAAGCCTTTTCAAATCTCAGATCTCTTCATCAGTAACGTTATTTCTTCACATACAAGGATGTAATTTTGTGTCCTTCAGAAAATCCTCTGAGAGTTGATAACTTTGCATGCCCATATTTTTTTATTTTTATGTTGTTATTTATTTTTACTTAAATTTATCACTGGATATTATGATTACTTTAAGGATTGAAAGTTGATGGAAATGTAAGTCAGCTTTTTGAGGTATGTTATTTCAAAAGATAAGAACTTTTGTGGTTAGAATGATTTGTTATCATCATTGAATATCCTATAGTTTACTCCCTTTAATGTATGTTTTTTTCGTTGTTATGATGTCTCCTTACAATTATATAAATTTTTTATAGTTTGTATGTATATAATCTGACTATGATAACGATTTTAGTCCTTTTAATGTTTTCTTTATTTTTCCTTTTCATTCGGCTCTTCTATATATTTTTGTTGTAAGTTATGACTATTTTCATCAAGATTAATTTGAAAAATATGAAACAAAACCTACTCTAAATAAAACTAATATGTATAGATTTATTGTCCTTCATGTCTCAAGTCATTGCTGAGCGTTTGAATTATCAAGGTTAGACTAGCTCATTTTTAATCTTATTAATTTTCGAGAATACTTCTTTAACATGAGTCTAAAATCCAACATTTTGATCTATTTGTATTTTCATAATGCAACAAGCATACGTAAAAATTCCTGATTAAGTCATAAAGTTTCATTCATAAAGCATCCAGAAGGGTCTTCCGCAGTTTACTGAAAAATGAATTTATATAAGGGTCAACAATATAATTTTGTTGTTGTTCCAAATTTATTTTTCCTTCTATAAGTTTTCGCTAGAGTAATAAATTAATGATAACGAAAAGTGGTGAAAATTGACCTCATACAAGTAGATTGTCTCCTAAAAAATTTTTTTTGTTGTTGCATTGTACATTTTTAAACGATCTTAATTTATTTATAACTAATATTGATTATCAAAAAATTTTACATAAATATCTTTATACAAGGAATTATTCTAACTATAAAATTATAAGATTCTATATTTTTCATGTACAAAAAATAAATAGAAAGAGTGATGTTTAATCTTTACATAAAAATTGTCACGACCGGAGTCTAGACCGCAGACGAGACCGGCGTCGTTGACCTCTTAGAGGTCGCAGACAAGCCTTCTTACGTCATTCTTACTTCGTCTAGGTTAATTTTAGAAAAATTTGAAACTTTTTGTTTCTTAACATACATACTAATCATTCTATTAGATTCATAATTGTTAACCATCAACCATCTAACATTAAGATCATCAAATGAAAGAAATAGTTTAACATAGCATTAAATGTATACTTGCCAAAATGGCACCAATACAATGTCTGAACAAAAGCGGAAAGAAACGCTAGTGGAACATACTCCACTAGTTCAATCCTATACATAAGGTAGAATATAATGGGCAAGCATCCTCAAAATCATGAGGGCCTATCAAGTCCGGATGAATGCTCTATGTCCGGATAGTTTCAGTGTCAACCTGTAGCTCTAGCGTCCACTTTATGTCTGCACCTAAAATTTTAGAGTTGTATGGGATTAGTACACAGTTGTACTAAGTATGGGTATATGCAAGCACACGCCAAGGACATGCATGATTAAGAACAACTCTTTCCTAACAACATTTTATGGAAAGTCAAGTCAGTGGACTTCCTAAATTGGGATTAGGAAAGTCATGCGATGAGAGTAACAGGCATCATCACACTTATCATATTGCACACAACAGATAACATCTAGCACATAGCACATATCATATTGCATATAGTACATAACATTTTACACATAGCACATAACATATTGCATATAACACATAACATTTTTCATATTATTCGTTCATATGTCATGAGACCTTGGAATCATGGACTTGACATCAAGACTTCCCAAAATGAAGGCTCAAGATATGGGACCTCAACTAGGGAGCCTTTTTTAGCAAACATAGAATCTGCTTCATTCATTCATATGTACTTCATTTCATTTCATTCATAGGCTAATGTAAACACCAGTTGTACATAGGATGAGTTTAAGACTTTCATCGGGTTCGTTGTACAATGATCAAGAATGAACTAGTGTCATAACTTAAGTCTAGCTCACCTCTTGATTATCCTATCCTAACACCTTTGGTATCATTCATTTCATTACGTGTATCATATGAGCCTGACCTCATTCATTCATGGGGAACTTTAACTTTAAACGACATAGATCATGTGAGCATCATGAAATCCAGTGAAAAAGAGATGGAATCACCGACCAAAGTGACCCAAAACATGTTAGCGTACATGGAAATTCAACCCCGCCAGATCCCTATATTGGAAGTATATGTTTGATGACTAGGAGATACAAGGAAATTCATACCCGGCATGCCTGACAGTCTCATCTCATTAGAGTTACGTGAACCTCCGCCCTTCCCGAAAAAGGCATCACCGCTCATAGCTAGTCTATCGATGTTAAGTATAAAGTTTCATTACATTCAACTCATATGTCATGGAAGTTGGCTTCTAGTACGAGACATCATAGCTGAATAGATGATTTCTCATCTCATCATTAGTATTAAGTGTGTTAATCTCAATAATTTCATTAGAGTGTTCATAGAGACTGGTCTCTTTATTAACTTTATACTCTCACAGGTGAGTATGTTTTGGTAATATTTACTTAGGCTCATTTGAGATTGTTCTCGTCTTTTACATTAGCCTCATATCATGTCGTCACAACATTCATTAACATTAGCACAGTTGCTCTTCATAATTACTCACCCCTTTTTACGTGAATGTTCATTTCATCATATGTCAATGGACTTGGACATTTGTGTGTTTCACACCCTTACTTAACCCTTCTAGGGTTTCATTATTTCAATACAAACATCTTAGGTTCACTTATTTTTAAACGTATGCTAGACTTATGGGTCTATACATACAAGCCATAAGGCTTCTTTCATAGTTCGTTAAGTGATACATATCTTCCTACGACTATGTAGTACTAGACTTATGCATCTAGTATGTATGCCAAGATCTCGATTTCGATCTAAGTAGGTGGCATTATTCTTGAACATTTAATTCACGTATGACTTATGTATCAATAAGAAATTTGGGCAAGGGAACCCGTGTTCGAATCCCTTGGACAACACTTATATTTTCATTGATTTTATTTTTAATCCACATGACATTGGGACCCTAAATCGAGCCCCAACATCAACATTCCCTCTTTCTTTATATCCTTGGAATCTCCTCCTACTTGGCCGAGGGGTTGTGGGATCGAACCCCCACAACTCCTTTTATTTTTTTTCATTTAATTCTCCTTGTACAGTTCGCATAGACCATGAGGTTGTGGGGTCAAACCCTCACAACCTCTCTTTATTTTTCTTTTATTTCGCAGCTACTGCCTAGAGGTCGTGGGTTCAATTCCCACGTCTCACAATTCTTTTTATCTACAGTTTTCTTTTAACTCTCTTTACTGCCTTAAGGTCGTGGGTTCGATTCCCACGCCTCCCATTTTATTTTTATTAATTTTTGTACTTTACTTTTCAGCTAGCCCACCTGGTCTAATCATAGGCATTCTTGACAAGTTAAGCATTTCTTATCTTATCCATTTTTTGGGTTGTTACAAAAACATCACTCGATTTTAGAAAGACAATTATATCATCAAACATATAATATGATAAGTTATGTAAAATAAAAAAATAACTAGATTATCAAGATATTTTTAATCATTAATTATCTATTTACAATTCTTGAGATATGTGATGACGTCAAATCATTTAGTTTTTCTAGAAATGTTCTAAGAAACTACAACAATTTACTTTTTTTCTTTATAAAAGCGATTATTGAAAAGGTTGTTCAAAAGGTTAGAAATATAAATTATACCCGTGCAAAGCCTGGGTAAATATCTAATTTTATGTAATTGAAAATCACTTAAATTTTAAAACATTTGATGAAGTTGTTATTTCAAAATTAATTAGTAATTTTAAAATATTTTAATAATATTTACAGTAATTTATAAAGTAAACATACTAAATTATATAATTTTCATGCAAAATCGACTAAAATTCTAAATTTAAAATAAATCTTAAAAATAAGTTAATCAAATAACAATCCTAAAAATGATAAAAGGTCGGTTAAAATTGGGCGTTAACAAGTTGAAGCAAAATATCTTATATAGATAAAATATTTGTTTCAAATAATTTCTTGTGGCTAAAATGTTAATATAGCCATAATAATATTTATCGCATGGCAAAAACATACGATCAACTATAAATTTTTATCAAAGCAATAAAGTTGTAGCTACTTAGACAATTACTGCCACAATTATTAATAATCATAGCAAAAATAATGAATTAGCTTCATCAATTTGATATTTGTGGCTAAGAAATTTTATGAATTTATAGATAGCTATAATGTTCAAAATTTTGTGGCTATTACTACTTAATAACTATGATATTTTAATTCATAGCTTAAATTTTATAGCTATGGATATATTATTATAGACAGGCTTTGCCAAAGTCAATCTCTGTCTTGGCCAGCAGTTCAGCCACATACTTGATTTGATTTAAGTGAATTCCTCCTTCGAAATATTTACCTCAGAAAGAAATGTAAAGGTCCGAGATCTTTCATATCAAAAGTCTTCCCAAGTTGTAGAACCAACTCTGAGACACGAGATGGATTACTTCATTGACAATAATATCATGGACATATAACAAGATAAATATTTTGCCTTTATGAGTTCGCACGTTCATTCGACATGTTCCATCAGTCTATTCTTCCTTCGATATGTTCCATCAGTTTTCAAGTTTCCTTCAACAATTTTGTTGTAGGGAAATTACATTTTTTTTTATATAAGTTGTATTAATATAATTCAATCTTCATATAGCTAAAATATTATTATTTAATTAGAAATATTTTTTAAAAAAGTTTTAAATTTATCTTTTCATTAATAAAATGAAATTTTAACTTGGAGGAAAGTTTTGGAAAATGTTTTCCTTAATATAGTACTTTGCTTTGAATTGTCTGCATTTATATATTTGTGAAAATATGTTTTATTTGAGCTAAGCGTCTTTTGGAAACTCTCTCCTGAGTTATTTAAATTATAGTATTGTTTATGTTAAAATGTTAAATTCACGAAATATTTTGCAAGGAATTTAGTTTCTATATTCAGAAAATTTACACTTTAAGTTTGATCATTTCCTGCTACAGTTCATCTAATTAAGTTAGAAAATTACAACTCTCTTAGCTTCTCATATCATATGTATATTTGATCTAAGACAACTGCTTCTTATAAATGTATGGCTGACTTTATCCAGTAGTTTGAATTTTCTTTACATCATTTCATCTTTTTGAATTAAAATTCGAATAAAGCAAATGTCATCTTCTTCATATAATTAGAAAAAGTTGTTTCCTCGATTTAGGATGAATTCCCAGCAAAAAATAGAATGACTTCATCAAACAAGAAAGAATCATAATCGGTCCTAAAAGAGATAACAAAAGAATTGAATTAACACAATATAAATTGGTCTACAAATAAATAATGAATATCAAATTATTATATCAAATAATATTAATAAAATAGTACGTAAACTAATATATTCGCGTATGATTTTACCATTTCGTCGTATTGCTAGCATATAACATCTTCTTACATGAGCTTGATAAAAAAGATAGAGTGATGATAAAGCGAGAAGAAATATTTTTCCATAGACTCGACATGCAATTAAATTCGTATAAGTCACCGTTATGTTTTTCTTAACTAAACTGAATCATATATTAATTATAGTGGGAAGCTCCTATCTTCAAAGTTGGATTACCACTTTTCCCTTCCAAACAATAAAGTTTAATTAAATATCATATTAAGTTTTGATTTAGTGAAGGGAGAATATGGTAATTCAACTTTAAAGATATGAGTTTTCCACTTTAAATAATACATGATTCAACTTAGTTTATTAAAAGAAACATAATGGTGACTTATAATAATTTAATTGTATATCGAGTGTGTGGCAAAATATATCAGCATATTGTGCCGCTATTTTATCATTTTGATCAAATCATGGAAAAAAATGGTATATGCTAGCAATACAAGGAAATGGTAAAATTACACATGAACATATTAGTTTATATATTATTTCTTTTAGACACAATAATTTGATATTCATTATTTATTTACCAACCAATTTATATTTGTTTAAAGTCCTTTTTTTTCCTTACCTCTTTAGAACTAACTATGATTTATCTTGTTCGATCGGAAAATCATCATCTTGATGAGAGGAAGAACTTTGAATTTTTAATTTGTTTGAAAACATCCTTCCAAGAGAAAACACTCCTATCTAGGGTGCTTCTCGCTTCTAATTTTGGGTAACAATTCATTCTAAATCGAGGTAAATTACCTTTTCTATATGAGGAAGATGTATTTATAAACTTTTGGAAACTACCCTTCCTCATATAAAAAAAAAGAAAATGCACAAGTACCTCCCCTCCCCCTCCCCCCAAATCTATGCTCGAAATCCTAAAGACACACGTATATTATATTAAGGTCTTATTACCCCTATAAATTTATTTTATATAGAATTTTCTATCCCTTTTCGGCCTACGTGGCACTAGCTTGAACAAAATGTCAACATGCATTTGACCCAAAAGATAGTGTCACGTCAGCCGTAAAGGGGTAGAAAATTATATATAAAATAAGTTCGGGGGAGGGGTAAATAGGACTTTAGTATAGTATAAGTGTGTCTCTGAGATTTTGGGTATAGGTTGAAGGGTACTGATGCATTTTCCTTAAAAAAAAATTCATCGATTTAAAATGAATTACCATAAAAATTAGAATCAAGAAACGCCCTAGATAAGAGTGTTTTCTCTTGTAAGGAAGTTTTCAAACAAATGAAAACTTCAAAGTTCCTCTCCCTCCTTTCAAAATGTACTTTTTTTTAATCGAACAAGAATAAATTTTAGTTGATCTTTAAAAGAGGTATAGAAAAATCGACTTGGCATAAATATAGATTGGCCAACAAATAAATATTGAATATCAAGCTATTATATCAAATCATAATAATATAAAAACTAATATATTCAATTCATGTATGATTTACCATTTTGTTGTATTGCTAGCATATATCGTTATCTTCCATTAACTTGATCAAAATGATAAAGTAGTAATACAACATGAGAGAATTTTTGGTCACATACTCGACATGCAATTAATTTAGTATACGTAACCGTAATATTTTTTTTAATTAAGCTGAATCATATATTATATAAAGTGGGTAACTCCATTAAAATTGGATTAACATTTTGTCACTTGACTAAATCAAAATTTGATAAAATATCAAACTAAATAACAATATTGTATGTTTTTGATTTAGTGGAGGAAAAATTATAATCCAACTTTGAATATATGAGCTTCTCACTTTAAATAATATATGATTCAGCTTATGTAAGAGAAATATAGCGGTGGCTTATACTAATTTAATTGCATGTTGAGTGTGTGGCAAAATATTTCCTCATGTTCTGCCATTACTTTATCGTTTTGATCAAGTTCATGGAAGAAAAGGTTATATACCAGCAATACAGTGAAATGGTAAAATTACACATGAACACATTAGTTTATATTTTATTACTATTTGATATTCATTATTTATTTGTCAACTAATTTATATTTATGTTAAGTCAATTTTTTGGTTACCTCGTTTAAAACCGGCTATGATTAATTCTTTTTCAATCAAATATCATCCTTGATAGGAGGGAAAGGAACTTTGAATTTTAATTTGTCTAAAAAACTACCTTAAGAGAAAATGCTCTTATCTATGGTATTTCTCGCTTTTATTTTTGGGTGGTATTTCAAATCGAGGAAAATAACATTTTTTTAATATAAGGAAAATGTATATAAATAAGATTTTGGAAACTAATTACAAGACCCACTAACAATCCTTTTTTCTTGTTCACCCATGTGCAATTACTATTCAACCATTAGTTTACCCAAATAGTTAATACTTATCTTTCACGTATACTTGCGCCGACTCTTCACTTTTTATGTCGCACCCATATTGAATTCTCTAAAAATATATTATTTTTAGAGATTCGGACACGGACATATTGACATTTTTGATGTCTCAAATATGTCGGAGTTATACTACTATTCATCTTCGGATGTCTCAGTGGATTCTATGTCTATTTAATAAGATACTAGGTAAATACTAAATATTACTACCGGATACAAAGATGATAAGCAGAAGAGACTAGCCTCTGCGTCTCCCACATAAATGTATGACAATACTAAGCTACATAATCATCTACTCGAGTAATAGTCTACAGAAAAAATACTTACCCCATCTTTTCTCTTATGAATCTCAGTCCACATTCTGCCTCGAACAACAACTTTTCCCTTTGCCATTTGAGAATATACCTTTCAAAGCACATTGTCCGTAAATTGGTTTTGCTTTGGCATCTCTGCATACATATCAAATAAGTTGTAAATTTGCACATATATAACCAATTACTTATTAGTTAAACATACTATCAACGCAAGAATTAGTATTGCTCGTAGAGACTAGAGACCTGCAGCTTTCTTCCTACTTCACCAAATTTAGCATAGATAATACATACATACAACAAATAGATGTACAAATCCAACACAGAATTCACAACTCTATCTTGTGATGTCATAAACTTCCTCACCACGTTCCGCATAGTGGATGCATTCACCATCTCCTCGTGTGTCACGACCCAAAAATAGGTGTGATGGCACTTGTCTTATCCCACCAAGACAAGTCAGCCTAAAACCCAATATCTAACAAAGTGCGGAAGTAAATGACAATCCAACAACAATTTCTAGTATGAAACCAAGTCATATTAATTCAATCCCCAAAACCAGATTGTCACCTGCACAAGCCTCTAATGTAAACATTAGAATTGAAACAAAATAGAAGTCTAACATGAAGTTGTCTTTCAAATAAAAACAAAATCATAAACTGGAGTAGGAAAGTTCGCTGAGATGACAAGCAGCTACCTCACAATCCTCCACAAGATGCCTCGGAAACGAAGAGAATAGAAAGTATCACAAAGATCCGGGCTCGTAACCTACAAAAGTTTGTAGAAGCAAGGGGTGAGTACCAAACCACGCGGTACCCAACAAGCAAACCTCTAAACACAAGTTAAGTGAATAAAATATGGGTACTCCTTACACCCTATCTAGACCTCCATGCTACAGTCTAACAGTTTACAGTTTACCAAACACACAACTCAATAACCACACTCTATCAGTTTACACATTCTCAATAACAACTCAATATTCAACAGTCACAAACTTCACAGAGAAACACTCACAAGATCATCAAAACACATGTTCAAGTTCATCAATAATAAAATGTGCAATGCCATGAGATGTGATGTCAAGTATAGTGATGCATGTCTTCCCTAACGATACACACCCGCTGTCTCTCAGTCCGGGACCCATGGGGGACATATCTGTCCATGCATCTGTCGCGGTGCACGACACGACCCTCGATAATAGTAACTATCGCGGCGCGCGATACGTCCCTCGAAATATAATATCAATCGCGGCGCGCGATACGATCCTCGAAAATAGTACATCATCCTCTACCACAACTATGTCTCAGATACCATGCAATGACATGCTCAAATGGAAAGGAGGAGATAACCATTTGATAACAAAGCACAATTTACAACAAGAAATACAACACCAACAAATAAACAACAAGTCTCCAAATCATTCTCAACATCACACAAGGAAATACACGAATTTCGTACGCTTAACAAGAGTTTAGAAATTCACTTGCCTCAAATAGTAGAACAATCACTTCGGAACTTGAGTCTTCCCTTTTTGTTGAACTTCCAACTCAAAACAATCTATTCAAATAAGTAACCACGATAAGATTTTTGAAACTAACAATACCTATATGTTTATCTTAGACCCAAAACTTCACCCAAATTTATAATAAAGTCCCTAGGTCTTGATGCCAATTAATATTCCAACTCTCATATTTATCAAATTCAAGAAAAGGTTAAGACTACAAATTTAATTGCTTTTATATGATATAATTCATCTGATATTTAATTACCTATGTCAATATATCAAAACTTAAAATTATAATGTGATAAAGAGAAAAATAAAATAAAATAATAATAAAAAAAATATAACCAAATTAGTGACCGAAATAATTTGCAGATTATTATCACCTTACCCTCCAAACTACCCTTTCATAAGGCCATTGATGGCCAACCACATGTCATGGTTCTCCACTAACATCCTTATATGTATACTAATAATAATAATAATAATAATAATAATAAATAACATATACTACTATTCTGAAACAAATTCTAACTTTCCAGTTTGTTATTTAACCCACTTCACATATCAATTCTTTCCCCACATTTTGTTTGTCCTATAATTTAATTGTGAACATAATACAATAATCATAACAATAATGATAAAGAATTTGGAGAAACACTAAAATCAACCTACATACTAACATGTATATAAATTAAAGGCAGTAACTTTATTCATCTTTTAGGAACAATTTGCAACACTTTTGATGTGGGCCAAAACACCCCTCTATCACCTTATGACTACTTATAACCATCCCAATAATTAGACCAAACAATTATCCACAACAACATGTCCCCCAATTTCCAAGAAGTCACGTGTAACAACAATAACTTTGAAAAGCAATATGCCACTCTTTATCCTCACCTTAGAAAACATATGAATTGCCTCATAAATTGTCATTCATTACGAAATTAAAAAGTTACAAATTGAAATCTCACCTGGATGCATTTTGCAAATTTCCGATGCCAAACCCTTGTTCGCTTCTTTTCCCTTTTTTTTCTTTTCTCAATTAATTATGTATTAAAAGTGATAAATTTTACTCACTTATTTTTATTAAATATAGGCTAAAGGGTATAGGGTCTTAAATAAATTATCACTTTAGCCCATAAACTATCGATTAATTAACTTAAGTTAAATAAATTTTTAAAAAAAAATTCTAAAGAGGAGTTTTTTTTTGGGTCATTACATTATCCACCACTAAAAATCATGTTCATCCTCGAACATAAAGTAAAAGTAATTACCTGAAGCTTCAAAAAGTTGAGGATATCTGGCACGCATGTCAGACTCTGTCTCCCAAGTTGCTTCTCTTACTGAACGGTGCTTCCATTGCACCTTCACTGAAACAAGCTCCTTGGTCCTAAGCTTTCGGATTTGCCTATCCAATATAGCAATAGGCTCCTCCTCATATGTCAAGTCTTGACCCAGCTCCACAGAATCGAGTGAAATCATATGAGATTCATCCGGAATATACTTCCGAAGCATAGAGACATGGAAAACAGAATGAACTGCCGACAAACTAGGTGGCAAGGCCAACTTATAGGCCACCTCTCCCACTCGGCTC